ACGTTATCTAACCCCAATCTCCCCTTTCAAGTAAGTAAACTAATCATTCTAAAGAATACCTTAAATGGAACATGTATGTATTTTAATATTCTATCTTGTTTTGTTAATTGAACTGTGATTTAAGTTTGTTTTTTAGTCCAAACAAATAAATTGATTGATGAAATTTGTTTTCTAAGGCAAAATACATAACCAAACAAGAAAATCAACACAGTACACACAAAAAAACATTTCTGAATTACTCATGTTGAAAAATAAGTTTATTTGTTTATTAATTTCTCAATTGGTAAGGTGTTACCAAACTTCATATCACGTGACAAATTTTCAAGTTTTCTCTGAATGTGAAAGAGACGAATTATCAAAGTAAAATTGAAGAGAGAAAAGAGCCCCCCTCCCGTCTGAAAAACGGAAAAATAAAACAGTTCATGCATAAAATAAAAAAGATGAATTAATGGAGAAACAAAAGAGAATGTTAATGACGATAATAACGTTAGCAATGACGTAATCACTGGTGTGATTAATTAATTTGTGTAAATATTAGTAATTTTATCAAGTTACTCAAAATGCTTTCTTTAACTTTTATCAAATAATTAGATGAACGGTTTGTATAAAACAGTGAAATTCGAAAATTAACCAGTTGACAACAGCTATTAAACTACCTTAAAGCATAATCTATTGATCAGCTATTGCATTCTCGTCTAAGGATTATCGACAATATCCACCTATGATCTTGTATAGCGAGTTTCGCATTTACCATGAAACCTGGCGATTGTTGGTCTGCATTACTTACATCAACTGATTAATAAAATAACAAGATGATTGTCAACAACATAAGGTCTCATTCTCGAAATGATTGAAAACCATCAGTTGCCGAATACACCCAATAGAATTCTGAAACTAAAAGGAAGCTGTTGTTTATTTAACTGTGGTTCTTAGCTGTTCGCCAGCCGAACGTTAGTCGTAAAACACCTAAGTTTATAGATTATGGTGGATTATTTGGTTATGAAAATTCAGCCGAATCAACGGAAGTCATACGTTGTCAAAATTTACAGCAACAATTATAGGGAAATCTACATCTATTCAATAACAACAACAGCTTTGGTGGATACCAACCCATAGAATTATGTTTTGGTGCATACTACAACTATCCTTCAACCCTGAAATCCACTACATAATTTACTCAGCAGCTAATCTGCAGAAATCACAAGCAAGTGCTGAATAAACAACGTGCTTCTGTATGTTTCTAAAACATTGAACAATACTCTTAGACATATGCTCTAGCCTTGAAGATATAATAAAACGTCATGAACATACTTACTTACGCCTGTTATCCCGCGTCCAGAAGCATAGGCCACCCTTCATCACTCTCTATCGAATCCTGTCCTGAGCAATTCTTTCCAGTTTATACTAATATTCGTAAATATTAGAACGAATAGTTTAACAGAATTTGGGCGCCGATTATAGAGAAGTTATTGTATGTGGAAATTATATCTGAAATAATTTCAGTGATTGAAATTTAAATGATTCCAACGGTTCGTCCGGCAAACTTGTCTGGAACTCTTCATTAAAATCATCAAAGGTGATTTTGATTTTGAACAATACCCTTAAGCATACAATGAAGTAAAGTGTATAGCGTTTAGTGAAATTGATGTGAGAAATAATTTTCCACTGATCATCACATAAGAGCATAATAATTCCAACAAATCGCACACTGAAGGATTATTCGACAAATTATTGATTCATTTAGGCGGCATAATATGAAATTTAAGACTTAATGACATTTCCTTCTCGTTAATTTTGACAGTAGTCGACTGATAAAAAAAGCCTAATGTGTTCTTCTAGGCGGCACACATTAATATGAAGTGAAATTTATTGGATTTATTCATTATAAATACTAACATAAATACTTATCCATAAGACTGATCATTTCAAATGAATATGCATGGATAATTTTTGAAAATGGAATAATTGCAAATACTTTTATTCGTTGAAATATTCAAGACAGATTTTGTCAATATAAAGATTATATACAAGTTGACAATATTAGTCATGAACGTCAACGTGCACCGGGGAATAAATGAATGAATATAAATTTTAAAATAGTAATTCCCTCTTTAAATTGTTTAAAATGTTCTGTCAAATTGTTTCACGTGGAATTCCTACTTATTGAAAGTCCATAAATGCCCTGGTACGGTTGAGAGTGGGGAGAGTCTGCTAACCGTCTCGAAATGCTTTCACATGGCCACGTTTATACAACAGCTGTCACGGAAGTCCTACTCAACGCCTCCTCGAGGACGGGGTGTTGTTGACGAAATTGAGAGGACGAAAAGCGAATGTCCACTGCTTTAACCGGGTTGGTGAATATAAGAAATCCACCTAGGAGAGTTGGAAAACCTTGACTCCAAACCAATGGTGGTCATGGGCTCCAGGATCCTAAGGAAACAAATGACATATGAACCTACTGTTGGTCACCAGCTACCATGGGACTGCATCTCACGTTGCCCGACTGCCTTGTGGACTGAACTTTCGAGTCAAAGTCCTGGGGAGTGGCCCCCTGAGAAAACACCTGCTTCGGTTTGGGCACCCGGGCAGTATCATAACCCTCAGACAAATAAGTGATAACTGCTAATGGCCTCATTGATATTGTATGGCGCATATATATTTGGTGCTCCCCTGTACCAATATTTATGTGTTCAAATAAATAAACGTATTTAAAACATGGACATTTTGGTACAACCGGGCATTAAGAAAGAGCATGCACCACAGATCTTATAAATGATAGGATTCAATGACACTTGTTCATGTAAAAACTAGTTTCTGTGATGGATGATTTATCCTAGTGAAAACAAACAACTTATTTTGAAGATATTTATTATCGTATTCAATTATCCTATAAACAATTACTGAGATAGTACAATCTTTGTTTTGATTGTTTCAAGTTGTATTTCTTTGAGTATACACAGGTTCGAATAAAACACTTTTCTAAGATAATATCTGAAAATTACCAATTTTACCCAGGAGAGAATTATCCATTGAAAAGAGTAAGTCGGTAAGACATTCTACATATCCTCACTTCTTCTACATAACCTAATGGTTTATTTATTCACTAACTAATTCCTTTTCTTTGTTGTCCTGTTCACGTGTTCTTCTTATATGACCATTTATACACATACTTAGAAAGAAATGTCAATCAGGCAACTTTTAATTAAAATACAACAATAACACTTGTAAACTAAGCATATTGGTAAATACAGACCACAGGACATATTTACTCTTGCTTATTCACTTAATTCGTGCATATCTTATTAAGTTGAATTAGGATAATAGTAAGATTTATCCATCATTGCTAAACAATAGAGACGTTTCTTCCAATCTCATTCACTTTTTGTTTGTATGTACACGTATATGTGAATGTATGGATAAACGCACTAGTCTATTAAGTAGTAGTTACATGTGAGTTGGTGAAACGCTATTTTCTCAAGCTGTTACTTCATATCCCCCCCTGACAGATTCGATCGCAAAGTGATTTCCACTATATATGGATATGTGAAGAGGTTATCTATTATGTGGTGTAATCAGAGGGGAGGGGTACACAGAAAAAAAATCAAATTCAAAGTGAGATTCCAATCGTCCTTGTGCATAATTTGTTTGTTATTTCAATTATTCAATATGTATTGAATACAAACTTAGTACTCATTTAATCAAACGTTATGTCAAACACATGCTATTGACATAATTGCAAAATATTTAAATTACAGTCTATAATTAGAAAAAAACGTGATTGAAACTATAAGTTGTAATTAACTGTTGGAAAAAATATTCATAAATCACTGGGATTTGATTAAGTTGGTAAGCAACACGTGCCAAATATTGAGAATGTTTACAATCCAATCAAACAAAACTAATCATTTGTTAATAAACTGTGTCTAAAGCGAAAGCATATTTGTTAAGCAAACAGTTGAGGAGCACTATTTTTGAAGACTTATTTCAGAAATCAGTCGATCACTGACAGGTTATTTTCGTTGGTTAATCGTGTTGCAGAACATGGTGTGCATACAACCACGGACATCCAGCTCATAGTATTTTAACTACTAATACACAAGTTGTCACAGTTTACAAGAAATAATTTAGACTGATGCATGGAAATCTGAGGAATAAGAGTGACCTAGTAGTTGCGCAATGTATACCATGAGTGTTTACTATTCCACTACTAAAGGTTTTATAAGCACAAGAATACGGATAGGAGTTTTAACTGATTTAAATGATAAGAGACATTAAAGCTGTTCATATATGTGAATGTCAGTTATATATTTATATGCTGCCTGATCAACAGATTAAACGTTATATACGCTTTAGTTAAATGTTCAAAATTATGCAGACCCTCAAAATTTCATTATTCACGAGTGATGTTTGAGATATAATACATAAAATATAGACTATCTGAGCTATTTATTACATTTACTTGGTAATAAAATACAATATCTTTCAACCCCCTTAGTATAAATAAGAAGACATTAGTATAACTTTAGTTTCAAATCAATGTATATATAAACATAATTTTTAAATATCAATAATTACAAACAATTCGTGCATATGTTCGTTTTCATGGATTTGCATATTTGAATAGGTGATAGCTTTCACTTCAGTACCCTAGAATTTTGCAAAGAAAATTTCTAATAAAAATTACAATTATTCGAAATAAAAGTAATATGATCTCCAATAAAATATGAATTAAATGACATGTTCAAAGTTAAGTATGAAGTAATGTCGTGCTGTTTGGAATAAATCTTACAGCAATAATAATAATAATAATAATAATAATAATAATAATAATAATAATAATGCAATTCTTTTACTAGGTACAGGCATTTTGTGCTTTGCTAAAATTAAATCTGTAAATCACATTAATAAGTTTGCAATCACTAATCGAAATAACTAAACATTACACAAAGTACTTTAAGATTAACAACAAGAAGAATATAACCAACCTGAGGATGTTTTGAAATGTCAAAAGGTTCACCCCAACTATAACAATAAATTAATATGACATTAGGTTTCTTTTTCTCAGAAAGCACAGAACTTACCCAGATGATTTAATGTGGAATCTTTCCTTATCAAATTCTGTTATTTTAACAATCTAATAAGAAAAACAAATATAGTGTAAGTAAACAACCAAAAAATGTCAGTTTGTAACAACTACTAAAGTAATTGAAGGTTTTACTCGAAGAAAATGATTTGAAGTTCATTCAGAAAGCAACAGGAACATATGAGTTACATAACAGATGGCACTAAATTACAAGTGATATGCAGACGTTTGATATTAGAAATAACCGAATATGCAGTGAAGGAGGTAACTCTACAAGTATACTACAAATATCTAACAATTACATAGTGATACTGGTTACAAAAGGAGGATGAAGTGCATTGAAATAGAAAGACTACTACAAAACCCCATATGATAAGGTCACTCACTGGTAGAAGAGTAGCACAAGCATAGAGAAATAATTACCCAACATGGGTAATTACAATTCTTCGAAAGATTATTATAGTATGAGGATTTTTCAAAAGCTAGCTAAGAGTGGTAGCTAAAACACCTGAGTTTTAGCTACTGGTTAACTAGTTGGAACTTTGTTCTATTTATTGAGACGTAGGCAACTAGATAGAATCACAGTCCACGTCTTTGACTATATCGATTTACTATAATAAGGCCTGATATGTAGGTAAAGCCAAAAATATAAATCCTCTAACTTTATTTACATCTGAGGCCTTATTTGTTACAATGAAAGGACTTAGTGAAAACGTGTCATTATCTTTTAATTAGATTGAAAATTTCAGTCTAACTGCATGTAAATAATTGTTAACAAAAGTATGAGTAGTTATGATGCTATAAAATTTCCTCAATTTGAAATAGTTAAACCAGATCTGAATAAGTAATTATTCTAGTATTTTAAGCAGTTTAGACACACTGAAACTTGCAACAAAGAGTTGAAGTGAGCAGATTTGGGGGAAAGTTTGAACGATATTCGTATCAAATAACGAAATATCTGATATAATCAGATTGAGTTATTCAATCGGTTTGTAACACTAACCGTTAACTACTAAACCACGGTCAATGTGAAACATGTGGTATTGTCAATGTGGACACAAAGAGGTTGTCGGTTATAATCCGAAGTCACTTGACTACGTGAAAAACTAACTTCCAACAAACCGATATGCAAAAAATACACAAGATTTCTTCATTAGCCATCGAAGATTTACCCGTGGAATAAAAAATGGATCAGCTGAAAACGCGAATAACCATTCATCCAGAAAATGAAAAAGTAGTGACATCATATCGTGACCTGAAAAATTTATATTGACAGATATATTTTGAGTATGGGAACAGTTTAGACACAGGTTGAACAAAGAAAGTAAGTGAGTCCATAAAACATTCCCCAAGACTGATTATACTTATAGGGAAATGATCCATAAATGTTTATAGACCAATACAAAGTAATACATTTACTTTACTAGACTTCAAAATCGTAAAGTATACTTTCGTGATTCGCACACTGCAAAAACACTGAGATGTGAAACGAAAAGACATATTTTACAGGAAAACGTTGAAGATTACCTACTCTATAGTTGTTTGAAAATCTACTTCGACTTTTTTCGATGTACTGATCAATTAGTTAAAATTGTGTTTAAATGCACACTTGGGGGGTGGATATTTTTTATGAATCCTAAATTAAGGCATTCTCCAGTTGCTTGTGTATGTGCCAGATTTTAAGTGTTGCCTAACCCGAAGGTGTGGTGGGGCTCGAACTTAGGACTTCGCGAGTGAAAGTCGAACACCTTAACTACTAAGGCACACGAAAAGTGATTGTTTTTTGCAGTGAAGAGTTTTGTGAATCGCAGTATCTGCAAAGAGTAAATATTTATCAGTGCATAAAAAACAAATTGATTTATTTAAGGTGTTATGACTTGTGAATCGAATGCTACTTTTGTATCTGGTCGTCGCTGATTGTTATGTCGGAATCGCTGACCACTTATGCTCGGAATGAAGGGACCTCCACAATTCCCACGACGCGAAAGTAAGAACACAAGACTGATATAAGCGAAGTTTTATTAGCCCCAAAACACTATGATGACGACGACGACCTTAGTCGAAAATACACTCATTTATATATTGATTATACAACCATTTTGATTAATAATTAGAATGAAATCATATATATAAAAAATACTCAGTTATCACAAATCACATACTGAGCATAGTTCATGTCAATTGAATACAAGAATACTGTATGTTATACAGAATAAAATATCATACGAGAAAAGAAAAGAAATACTACATTGAGTAATCATTACATTGAATCAAAACAGAAGTAATGTTGAATAAAACTTATAATGAGTAAATCGATCGAAAATTGACTTTCTTTCCATCATATCATAAGGTATTTAGGAATTTTTTCTGGTATTTTGTGTTCCGGACTGTCGCTACTTCTCTGATCTAGTGGTTAAGCTTAAAAATCGCAGTGACTTAATAAGAACACATCAACCGAAATATTTTTTAGATGTCTTGTCACGTTAGTAGGTTGTTCCAGATCTATCAAAGCCGATACAACGGATCATAGGTTAGAGCAAATATATGTGTCTTTTAGAAAGCATTGTCTATCATACTGACATTCACCCTTTCCAGTACTTTTCAATTCATGAAAACAAAACGTGGACTTATTTACACTATTCAACAAATAAACGACTAATAATTAGTGATCAATACCCACCAACAAACAGATAAGATTTCTAGTGGCCATTCCGGTGTTTAATTTAAGGATCTTTACGGAAACCAATGAAAAATTGTAAACTTAAGTATTAATTACTTAGCACACGAATGTATTTGATTTAGACTACTAACATAACAACTAATACGTTGTATACAACGAAAAACAGCATGCACGTTTACCTAAAACTGTGATAACGCAAAATCGTGGGAAAAATGAATGGAGAAACTGACCATCAGCTTCAATTTCAAATCTTTCTGAAGTATCCACTGAGTCGTAGTTTGTTGTCATATAGTTGAACATGGCCATGGCAATCTATTTATAGCATAACAACATCTGATGAGTAGATCAAATGCAACTAACTTGTTCAAATGCTTCTGTTTGGTTATTACCCCAGGAATGTAACCTAATACAAAAAAAAACGGCGGACACAAAATATCACGGACTCATAGGAACTCAATCTACGGGCAATGATTAAAATAAAAAAGTAAGAACACGCCATAATTTGTCAAATAATAAACATTTCCTTTCCAACTATGAGATGATCATTTTGGTTAACTCCCACCAATTGAACTGAGCTTAAGTATAATATATTTTTTATTTAAAGGATCTTGGGACGGTACATAGATGATCTGATGACAAAGTGTTACTGATAAAATTTATTTACAGTTTGAACATTTGAAATAAATGCTTAGCAACCAGTGCCGCACTGAACTATCAGTAGAAATCCATGACTGATGAAAACAAGGGACATGTGTTAGATGAATTGCCGCATATATACCTAGCTTTTACTTTCCCAGAGATGTCTCAGGTCAAAAATTACTCTAAGAGAGGTCAGAATTTCTAAATATTAGTAGCAGTGTATCATTTCATTATTTGACGACAAGTTGGGAATAGATACTTCGTCAGATAAGATACTTGCCTATTTATTGGGAAAAGGTACTGGTAACACGACTGTTAAAATTTCCTACTTCGGCACAGGAAGTGATACCATTCAGAATAAACAAAAGGATTTTTGATTTAAATATTTTTAAAGTCATATTATTTGATGCGTCCATATCATTTGTGAAATGGTGGTCAAAGGAGCATACATGTGTTCGTCAGTGAAAGTTACTATTCATATAAACCTGATATGAAACGCTACCATATGTGACCGTTAGTGACAGTTTAGTATGTGCTACTGTTGATTTGTTACGCAAAAAAAAGATACTTCGACCTAGAGTACATGAATGACATTATTTCAACACGACCACTAGCATTTTACTTAATCAAGTGGAAATTGGTGTCCGTAGGTACAGCCAATCTATCAAGTCAGTCAGTCAGTAACAACGTGGGACTTCGTACGTACGTACATCGGTTCGAGTTGCCATACCACATTAGCACAGAGATTCAGTTATCAATTCAAATCCCGTAGTGGTAGAGGTAGTGATAGGGAACATAAGGGTTTGATGATGTTATTTAAGGAGTATAGTCCAGTGGAATAGATTCGGAAAGAAAATAAAGGACATGAAGAATTCAGTGGATGCACCTGCGCCAAAAGTCGGAGGACTTACATTAACTTGCCATTGGATATCGTGGGAAACCGAAATGTGGCTGAAGGCCAGTTGCGCTGATCCCTAATGTGTTCTGCCCATCGATCCAATCTCCTGGATGGGATTACGTCCAGTTCCCAGATTCTACCCAAGGCCTCAGTCAATCTCACTGCTAATACTGGACCGCCATCTTTAAAAATCTCAGGAGTAAACCTGTCAGGACCTGCTGCTCTCCCACGCTTCAGATTTCCTATAGCTTTTTCAACTTCGTAAAGAGTCGGAGGACCTACATCAATTTGCCATTCAGGTAGATTGGAGATCGTGGGAAACCGAAGTGTGGCTGAAGGCCAGTTGCGATGATCCCTGAAGTGTTCTGCTCATCGATCCAATCTCCTGGATTGAGAATGAATAATATGTCCATCTTTCTCTGAGATTGCTTCGCTAACAGTTGGGTTCCTAATACAGGTTTTCTTAACAAGTCTGAACAGTTGCCTGCTGTTACCTATTGCCACTGCCTTTTCCATCTCTCTTGCTTTCGCTACCCACCATTGTTCACGATAATTGCGTAGGCTTCTAGTTAGCTTACGCTTAAGCTGACTCCGCTCTTCTTTATATTCAGAGCCAGATGGAATGAGTTTACGAGCATCAATCAGGGCAGTAGACGCTGCAGAGATCCAGTGTTTCTCCCTAACCTTATGGTTTACTGTACTTGCAGATATCACTACTGTTTCTACAGCTTTTCGTATGTCATTCCACGCTGCCTCGGGGTGAGCATCACTTACATGGCTGTCTAACTGTTTTTCTAGTTGTTCCTCAAATATACTCTTAGCTTGACTATCATTAAGCAGGACCCTGAAGTGTTTCCTTGCACCATCTTTCCTACGTCCAGCAAGACGTAGACAAATACGCGCTCGCACTAGAGCATGATCTGAGTCTAAGCATGTGCTCCAAAATGAGCGACAGTCTTCTATCGAGCCCCTCCATTGGTGGCTGATAGCGATGTGATCTATTCAGGTGTAACGTTGGGACATTTTAGGGGGTCGCAATGTTAAAAGATGTTTTTCCTTATGCTTCAAGCTATTGTTTGCAAGAAACAGGCGGTTATCTGAGCATAGCTGCAACAGACGGTCGCCATTCTCTGTTCTTTGAGCCGCGAAACCATAAGATCCATCCAGGTGCCTTTCCTTTTCGCTTAGTTTACCTACTTGAGCATTAAAGTCACCAGTCACTATTACTACAACTGAACGCCTAGCTTTTCGGAGAACGTCGGAAAGCTTTCTGTAAAATTCATCTTTTACATTATCTGAGCTGCAGTCAGTGGGAGAGTAGGCAGAGACGACGAACAGGCAACGACGAGTGTCCCTATCTTTTCGAATCCTTACTGTTCCGTTTAGTCGGACAGCACACAAACGACTGTCTACTGGGATCCAGTCTAAGAGAGCTAGTTCTGCCCTAGGACTCAATCCTATACCTACGCCAGCGAGGCCACGGGAAGCAGCAACAGGGCTTCCAGACACACGAAGTGTAAATCGAGTTGGTTCGTTACCTTGATATGGTGAGGTCAAATGAATGACACTACTTGGATCCTGTGTGCGCGTTTCAGAGACGCAGCACACATCGATGGAGCGAGATTCTAAAGTCTTAGCTAAGATAGCCTGTTGTCCTATTTAGCACAGTGTTCGGACGTTGAAGGTTCCTACGTGTAGTTTGGAGCGTGGTTTCAGGAGACCAGGAATAACATTCCGCGTACTCGAATCGTTCGCACTAGCGGTGCCAGGTGATAAAGGGACGTGAGAAGGGTTGGTCGTGGAGATAAGAGAGTTATTAGGAGGTGTAGGAGGGATTTGAATGTGACCAACTTGGTTTCGTATGCTGTTACGGGTATGAGGGCTGATGTCACTTCCCGGTTGCCCACACCGTGGAAGGGCATTTCTTGAGGGACCTGAAAAGGAAATCGGATTAGTGTTGGTCTTAAAGACCTGAGAGTGACCGCAGAGCCAAAGGGACAACTGCTTGAGGCCGGTCGCGCACAGCCATTTTGTGGGATTTTAATGTGTTAGCTCCGTTCTTCAAAGGGCCTTGCCGTCGGAGACGGAAATCCGTGGGGTAAGGTGAGGCGTGACATTTTTAGGGTCAACCTTTTCTAACCCCTTCCTTCCTTATGAGAAGACAGCATCGCTGCAAATGCTGGTTGTTCGAGGGAAACACCTTACTGCTGTCACATCTCTGTACAGTCAGCAGTACGACATCGCCCTCAGACCTTGAGTTGCCGCTTTTAGTTTTACCGTTCTCTACCTGGCATAGTAGAACCTGCAGGAACATGTGTTCCAGCTAATATAGCTCGGTTGGGTCATCACGATAGGCAAGCCCGACCACCACGTCAAGGTAGCAGCTACGGCCGGGTAATCTATCAAGGCTAAAATCTGTCTCAAAACCAATTATGGTAATAGGACTATTAAAATGGTATGAACGTTCACAGTAACTACATATCAGAAGCATTCATTTCAAAACATAATAAAACATTGATTTTGCATTATTTAAAAATCTGTTGCATATTACATTAAAAGAACGACTAGCATATTCGCTTACACGCTCCAAAATTTAATCGATTGCTTAATAACACTATCAAGTCACAACAACGTAATTTCGGTTTCACTGGAGCATTTAGATTTATTAGTCTAGTCTTGACAGCGCGCCATTTAATAAGGACAGTGGTATTTTACCTCGCTGAGTTAATTTTATTGTTGTGTTCATAATTTACGGATCAAAACTGCTGTTATGACTTTAATGTCAGACTAGGTAGCCAAGTGAATTTGAAACAGAATCAAACCAGGTTGCTTAAAGTAGTATTTAAATTTCTCAATGAACGGGACTTGATACTACAGAATGGACATAAATGAAGGGGTCAGGAGTTTTCGTCTGTAAAGACTTGCGGCTCGCCGTCCACATAAAAAGACCAAAAGCCGAAAATGAACTAAATCTTAGGTTAGATGCTAGCAAAAAGAACCTGAAAATTGTAAATTTTCGGGTGGTGAGGCCTTGACAGAAAATGATGCTGAAGCCACTCTGGGTGCAACACGAAGCCATTTAAATTAGCTTCCAATCTGTTATACAAGTGTCCGAAGCTTGCTCAATAAGCGATCGGAGTTAGGTGTACACATTGACTCTACCTAGCTGGATGTAAATCACAGTCACAAAAACTTGGTTGACGCAGTCTATAGACAGTATGGAACCTGATATTGGAGGTTTCAGGTTAGAAATAGCCGACAGAATCCAGAAGTGTAAAGGAGTAACTCTATTCATCAGGAATACTATCGCATTTACCATTATTGACAATGAATCCCATGAGAGTGGGACGTGTGAATTAGTTAGTTGCCGCTTGAAATGTAAGGGACAAGAGTTGTTGATTGATTTGGTCTACCGCAGTTCAAACTATGAGGTGAATGAGGTCTTGGTAGACAGCATCAATACTTGGTCACAACGTGGTCGACGTCTAATCCTAAAAGACTTTGATGCACCTACAGTAGACTGGAAAAATCTAAGAATGATTTATTAAATAATTCCTTTGAACAGGAACTAGCTGATGCGGTTATCATATGTGCCCTAGTAAAACATGTGAAATAAACTAATAGGTACGACCCGAACTCTGAAGCATCCTTACTAGTATTTATTTATTTATTTATTTTAACACATAAGTATAGGTACAGGGAGGCACCAAATACATATGCGCCACACAAATCTCAATTGATTTGTGTGAGGGCTGTGATACTGCCCGGGTGCCCAAACCGAAGCAGGTGGTTTTCTTAGGGGGCCACACCCCGAGCCTTTGACCTGAAGATCTGATCCACAAGGCAGTGGAGCATCGTAAGGAGATGCAGTCCCATGGTAGCCGGTGACCAACGATTGGTTCATACGCCATTTGTTCCCGCAGGATACTGGAGCCCATGTGCACCATTGGTTTGGGGTCCGGTTAAAGCGCCAGACATTCGCTTTTCGTCCTCTCATTTTTGTAAACAACACCCCCGCCACGAGAAGGCAGTGAGTAGGACTTCCCTGGCAGAGGCTATATACGCATGCACCTACAGTAGACTGGAAAAATCTAAGAATGATTTATTAAATAATTCCTTTGAACAGGAACTAGCTGATGCGGTTATCATATGTGCCCTAGTAAAACATGTGAAATAAACTAATAGGTACGACCCGAACTCTGAAGCATCCTTACTAGTATTTATTTATTTATTTATTTTAACACATAAGTATAGGTACAGGGAGGCACCAAATACATATGCGCCACAAATCATCCTTACTAGATCTCATATTGACGCATTATGAGGATGACGTCACAAACCTCGATTATATGCCGCCCTTAGGTAAAAGTGATCATGCAGTTCTAATATTTGACTTTAATATAGGTGTCATAAACGAGCACGTGTCAACCCAACCCAGACCTAACGTCTGGAAAGCAAATATACAAGATACTATACACTCCGCATCCGAAGTAGATCGGTCAATAGAACCAGAGTTCCCAGTTGAAACGGCTTGGGATGGATTTATAAATTTCTACTTAAAGGTTACTGCGCCACACATCTCTTGGACTACACCAAGGGGTCCGAGAAACTCTCCACCATGATTCGGTAAAGAGGTTGGCACCCTTCTCCGTAAGAGAGGAATGTGGGAAAGATTTGGGGTATTGGGTACTGATGAGACAAAATGTCAATATCAAGGTGATCAAAATAATTGTGCCTCGACCCTCCTCAAGTCTAGAAGGTTATACGAAGAAAAATTTTTAAGGAATCTATAGAATGCCCTAAACACTTGTATTTGTGTACAAACCAAAAGACTAAGAGAAAAGGAAATATTCTAGCACTATGGGGAGACAGTAATACTTTATCATTAGTGAATGACGATTATGGTAAAGCCCAAGTATTCTCAAACTACTTTAGCAATGTATATACCGTAGAGACACCCTTCCCGTCAGTTCATACAAATATCCCCAAACATACTGGACAACGTGACCATTAAAGAACTTGATGTGTCTTGATCTGCTAAACTAACTTAACACAGACAAATCCATGGGAACCAATAAAACGCATCCCAAGTTACTAAGGGAGTTAGCAAATTTTGTTGCGAATCCCTTAAACATATGTTTTAATCTATAGTAAGCTATAGTATGTCCTGTCTTCAAAACAGGTATGGGACATAAACCCGAGAACTACCGACCTGGAAGCCTAAATAGCGTGATGTTTAAAATTCTAGAAAACATTATTCGGAAGAAGTGGTCTAAGTATCTAAAAGAAAACTCGATTCTTTCTGAAAAGCAGAATAGCAGGTTATTCTTGTGTCATGAACTTATTAGTAGCTTGTAAAAGTTGGTGAGCTCTTAAATACCAAAAGTTAGCATAGACGTAGCCTAAATTGACTTCAGAAATGCATTTGACAAAGTTTTTCACAACCGGCTGTTATGTAAGTTAAGACATATCGAAGTTGGAGGCAATTTATTAATGTGGATAAAAGACTTCCTAGTTGGGCGCCAACGAAGAGTACGGGTGGACTCGAAGTTGTCTAGCTGGGAAACTGTGCTTAGCGAATCTCTCAGAGTACAATTATAGTGCCTGTGTTATTCCTCTTATACGTAAATGACCTTCCCAGTTTCTTATCATTATCGATTTCGTTATATGCTGACAAAGTCAAGATACGGAGTGCTAAAATGTAAAGGTGATAGTTCAGAGCTTAAAAATGACGTGGAGAAATTGTCTGAATCGTCTCATACTTGATAGTTGACGAAAAACACTTCCAAATGCATTGTGATGCATATTGGTCACGAAGATGTGGATACATACACAGTGAGCTACCTGTTCTCCGGACACACATCGTTAGTCAAGGCTTAAAAGCCATTGCACACTGCCATGTAATAACCGCCAAAGGTTTTAGAACCCTATGGTCTATACGTAGGGCATTTAGCCATGTAGACGCTAAAACGTTTCCGACTTTATACATAATATTCGTGCGTCCAAAACTAGAGTACTACATGTAAGAAGCTAGCTCCCGTCTAAAAAGACTGAGTTGCTGGGAAGGATTAAGAGAACCGTAACTAATCTGATAACTGGAATAGAAAGGCTTCCGTATGATGCTCGACTGGCTAAACTAGATCTGTTTTCATTGTTGTATCAATGAATCATGGGCTATTTGATCACAGATCTAAGTTACTTAGTCATAAATTTTTATCTGATATACCGTCATTTTTTTCGTTCTCCAAACAGAAAATTTACGAGGAAACTTCAAATGATTTCATAACCTCAGAATGAAATAACTTGTAAGCTAATTATCGACTGTTCGATCGAATCAACAAATGGAGCTCATTAACTCAACACTTGATTGAAGCTCTATCTATCGGTGCTTTTAAAAGAGGGTTGGATCGACTGAGAGACCACCATTTTCAGGACAAACACAAGCCGCCGAGCCTCCTGTCATTTCCAAACTGAAACTGACCGAGTGAACGTCACTGGAATATCTGGTAAAGTGTAAATGACTGAAGCCTATTCATCAAGGACTTTTCAGAAGAGCCACATATTTGTACGTAAATGTTTAAGACATCTTACTAAATCATCAAGATGTAGTTCTAAGAATTTCTGTATCAGGATTGTTTCTATTAATATATCTAAAATTTTATTGGATTGAGACTGAAAAAAATACTCACTGTACATCAGCAGTGTGATCTAGATCTGAAACGCAAATCAATCATAGTAAGAATTCATAATTACACTCATATTTTACTTCTGGAATATCGGGAACTTCGAGAATGTCCAACCCAGGCATGTTGAATAAGAACTTAGCGGTAATTTGTAGGTCACCTGAAGGTAGAACTAGGATATCACAAGAACAACTTCTGACACAAACCTTGACTTCTATAATGGAAAGCATTATTAAACAGGAAATCGGTCCACATTTGGCATATATATCGGACAATTAAGTATTAGTAAAGTCGAAAAGGGTTCACCTGGTCTGTTCCAGTTTGGAAGTGACAGGAGGCTCGGCGGCTTGTGTTTGTCCTGAAAATGGTGGTCTCTCAGTCGATCCAACCCTCTTTTAAAAGCACCGATAGGTGGAGCTTCAATTAAGTGTTGAGTTAATGGGCTCCATTTGTTGATTCGATCGAACAGTCGATAATTAGCTTACAAGTTATTTCATTCTGAGGTTATGAAATCATTTGAAGTTTCCTCGTAAATTTTCCGCTTTGAAAGACAAGAACACTAAGCTATAGCAGATTTTTAACATACTCCGAAAATTATTGACATCATTTCTACAAAGAACGCCAAACATCCTCTGTAGATTTAGTTTCCTCATTAGTCAGCATCAAGTTGTTAGAGAACGTATGGTGACACATTAATATGAAAACGCAGGACTGGACTAATGAATGTAAATGCTCCAGTGAAACCGAAATTATGTTGTTGTGACTTGATAGTGTTATTAAGCAATCGATTAAATTTTGGAGCGTGTAAGCGAATATACTAGTCGTTCTTTTAATGTAATATGCAACAGATTTTTAAATAATGCAAAATCAATGTTTTATTATGTTTTGAAATGAATGCTTCTGATATGTAGTTACTGTGAACGTTCATACCATTTTAATAGTTTTAGATCTAGATCAAACGCTAATGTATATTGAGTAAACTTCGAAGTCCCTAACTAAACATTATGATTCGCATTGTGGTAAATTTGATACTTGATAACTGCTCAGTACAGGTGGATCTTTTGATATTACCTTATGGGATGACAAGTTCCTATAAAAAAAACTGACAGGGCTTAAATGGGAAAGGGTGACACATGATGGTAGGACTGTTCTACAGAGCAGGTCTGCGACTGAATGAAGTGTAAGCTGGAGAGGATGACTAGATAAGTCTGAATGAGTGACACGATTATCTTCACCCACTTCTGTTCACGATGATATGATGTTATAGTTACGCGGTTGCTTAAGAATTTCGTTTGATGAGTCAATCGCCAATTGCAGATCAAGCTGTGTAAAAATTGGATTGGTAGAATATTGCGGAAGTTCGAGAGGGCATGGAAGCACATCTGGAATGTCAGTCAAGTGGGTAACAGGAGTTTGTAGGGATGGCCACTCCTTGTTCAAACCCGTAAACCGAACACGTCGACTTGATTTTTGTATCAAGTAATGAGTTATTATTAGCAGATTATCCTTATTTGGCACTCAGACAGATAAAGCACAACAACCAGGATGTGTAGATCTGTTCCGAAGTAGAGGCCTGCTGAACTCTTCACTAGAAAGCGATTCAGACATTATTTCTCTGGGTAACATAGCTTGAAACCAAGGCGCTCGATTCAGAGAATTATCACTATTTTCAGCATTTTTATTACATCCTTGAAGCTCAGAAGTCTGTCCCGACGCTAGCTTTGGAATCTCTGTTGAAAGTGATGACGTTGACATTATCGATCCTGGTGCAGACATACCACGAACATTGTTAGATACGGTGAAAGGAAACATTTGTTTTTTATACGTATCTTGAAATGTTTTATCGGCAAAAAGATGAAGTGGACCACGTTGTAGATCACCAACGTGGATGATCTATGTCGAAATGATTGGAGGCTTACTCGAGTTAGACGTGAGTGGTGTGACAAACTAGCTGACGTCGAAGTCACACTTCGCGGTCTGCACCTTACATAGATTACCCCATTGACGTATCAAGGTACTATAGATGCTTTGAAGACTGTACAACACAAAGGACGTTATTACAGAAATATATTAGTTAAAGTAGATACAAGCGAAGGTAAGACCACTGCCGCATGGGCCAGTCCATGGTGTACGATTAACTGATGCGCGTTGGTTGTCCTTGACCTCGACGAGGATTGATGATTTTGTTCGATATTCAATGGCTAGGGCTCAGTGGAATTTCACTGGCCCTACAATACTCCCCCACCAGATTCAACGGCCGTTTGAATCGGTACCAAACATGTCGGTAGTCGCGCGCCGGAGATTGCCAAACGATTAATTTGAATCCTCTGGGTATTGCCGAGCTGCAAAACAAATGGAAACGAGGCGGCAGAAACTGATCGAGAAACAGCAAGTAATAATATGTTAGTAGAACGTTGGTTGAACGTAAAGCCATTAACCATAGAAGTAATAAAAAGAACATAACTTCGCACTGAAGTATATAGCTTTGACAAGTAATTGAGTTTCTCAGATGAGAAAAATTAACTTTGCCGCAAGAGCAATGATGCTATAGCGATAGTAGGATAAGTGTATTATCAATCGATACGGATGTTTATACTGCCATTGATTTAAAGATGAATGTCAGACAGTGTTGTTGACAACTTCTAGCTATATCTATATTTAACAGACTAACTAAGTACAGAAGTATAGTCGTGAAGAGTAATCGTGATTTCGTCATGCGAGGCTACTAATCCACTTGTAGTCAGTTTTGAAAGTCGGTGACTGCTGTTACAGTCAGTAAGGGTCGAAGGCTACAAATCCAGAGCGAAGACGGCACTGTGGAGTCTCCAAAAGATGGTAAACAGTGCTTGCTGCTTGTTTGTTCGATTAGCGAATAGAAAAATATCGAAAAGACCATATGAAACCAAGAGTGTTACTCTGGACTCATGTCAATGATACCAGTGAAAAACGCTGTCAGTGTTGGGATAGAGGCGACAATGTCGTTTTCAGTGTGCAGGAGATTCGCTCGACTGCACAAACTGATGATTCGCGCAGATGATAATGTCGTCAGATCACCAATTGAACTGGACAGGTTTTAAATCGTCGAATAGTTGAGCAGCCGATCGATGTACCGAAATCATCTTTTAGATAACAGACACGAGGAAATACTTCATAATATAAAGTACGATATCGAAGTAGAATAAGTACAATAGTTCTTATGTATTATAAAGTCAAATTTAAATAACACCATTCTTACGTATACTGATAGTTGCGCTGAACGTTCGTTTGGGTATTATCAGCGTAACATTTGGACGTTTGGAGAAAAGTATATAAGAAAACTATGGTTGGGTTCGTGGAGAATTTTCGAGGACGTTTAGATACTTTACAAACCATTATTGCATACAAGTAAATCGAAAATGGAATTAAAATGACTGTCGTGTAATAAGGAGATCGAGCCATGATTTACCGTGTGAAATAATAGCAAATACAAGGAGTATAGTAAACATTAATTAAAATGGTAAACACCAATGTAACTAAAGTTTAGAGGGTTCAGGTAACGTGGCCATTTCGTACAAGGCTGATGCAAAGAGCTTGTTACCTATCGTTAAGTGACATATTACGTACAACAAAGTGTCTACTCAGGACATGAAATAAGATTGTTCGTGTACATGCAATATGTTTTACCATAGTATGTCGATTAACGAGTCACAAATGTACATTATTTCGACTAACACTTAACGGAAGTGACAGAATATATGACTACTTAACATGAAAGCAACTACGAAATGTTATCACGCATCATAAAGATAGTACGAAATAATCTAATGATTTTATGAAACTCGCCTGTGTTACTCTTGCTTCCAAGTAATGAAGATACGAAGTGGACAGTAGTTGAAATCTGGATTATATACGAGGTACTGTTGATTAGATTCTTCGATTAACACAGCGTTGTAGACTGAATTAGAACAAGTTCAGAATAAATTCAAGCCAAATAGGTAGCATTGCCTGACGAAGTCTAACCGAGATCTAAGATTGCAGAACATTTATAGTTCGAACTCACCGTAAATTTCTAGCATTTGTATCCTCTGTTTGGCCATGGAACTCGGCAATTGGAAATTAGGCAGGCGGTGGTCAAAAATAGAAATATTCTAGTGGATAGAGGTTAAGCAGGAAGACGAATTTAAAGTTGACAGTTAATCTTTTCTCGCATAAACTAGTGGATAAGTTACAAACCGATGTGCGTTCGTGTTGCCTTGTGGCTATACCCACGAGTGGTTGATATTTTAACAGACAAATTACACAGGAGCATTTACATGCTGCTAATGCTTGTTAAAGAACCACGATAGCCGATTATAACCGTAGTTGATTAGTTAGTTCTACCTATTGAACTAGTTATTTGAGTTTAAATACTAATCAACATTGACATGAAGCAACGAAAGTTCACAGTAACAGATTAACATAGGCGATGATAAAAATGGAAAAGAATAAGTATAGATTGCAACAGTAAAGACTATAATGATAGGTTGCGTTATTCGCAGTCTTGCTCACCAGTGTAGATCACCAACGTGGATGATCTATGTCGAAATGATTGGAGGCTTACTCGAGTTAGACGTGAGTGGTGTGACAAACTAGCTGACGTCGAAGTCACACTTCGCGGTCTGCACCTTACATAGATTACCCCATTGACGTATCAAGGTACTATAGATGCTTTGAAGACTGTACAACACAAAGGACGTTATTACAGAAATATATTAGTTAAAGTAGATACAAGCGAAGGTAAGACCACTGCCGCATGGGCCAGTCCATGGTGTACGATTAACTGATGCGCGTTGGTTGTCCTTGACCTCGACGAGGATTGATGATTTTGTTCGATATTCAATGGCTAGGGCTCAGTGGAATTTCACTGGCCCTACAACGTAAAGAGGAACCAATGAAATTCATATCGGGTGTATATGAATGAGGTTTTTCCTGTTGGGTATCATTTCGATTGAGTTCAATAAGCCGTTAGAAAGGATACTGTAGTTAAGACCAAGAGACCATATTACCAAGAAGATAAGTTTTCAGAATAGCAATGTATATTCTCATGAAACTCTGATCTGGAACTATTTTGAGTTTGCTTGCAAACACAAGTTTGGAATGTTTTCGAACTTTCTATATGTTGTTGCTTGAAATCATTCGAATGACAAGGTACATTGGGAACTATTGGAATCATAAGATGCTGCTTTCATAGCAGCTTCAATTAATTCAACATTTTCACGATCTTTATCTAACTTGTTAAATAGATCTTCAAGTAGAGGACCAGAAGTTAACAAATGTGGTTAA